TCAAACTGCCAACCCTTAGGTTAGCAGTCCAGCACAAACCGTTTGTGCCACACAGGGACCTTCTACGGAGGGCTGGTTAAATTATGGCACCTCCACATAGTGGAGTACTACGCACCCATGACAAAGCATAAGAATCCTCTCTGATTTCACTGTTGAGTGAAAAGTGCAAAGTGCACAGTAGTTCACTACTTTTTCTGTCAAAAGAAGTTTGAGAATGAAAACTCTATTTCTATTTGCTTATATTTGCATAAATAATCTACAGATTATTTATGTGGGTGTTGAGAGGAGCTGGGCAAGTGGGGGAGGGGAGAGGGACAGAGACTTTTTGCTGTACACCTGTTTTGTATTTTCTGATTTTTGAAACGTGTGATTCCATTTCCTATTCAAAACAATAAATTACAAAAGGAGGGTGGTGGCAAGCAAGCAAACGAAACCAAACTATTAGAGAAAAGAAATTCTAGGACCTGCCCTTCTCTAAGTACTTGATTCTGTTCAGTCTGGAGCTCAGTCTTGACCTTAGATTAGAGCCAACTGAGAACTGGTCAGACTGATACATTTTGGGGGTTGATGTTATTGGACTTCTCCTTTGAAGGCCATCTGAGTATCAAAGCAGGGAATGTCTTTATTAAACAAACAAACAGCAAAAAGTCAAACAGAAAACTTAGGCAGGTCATGCTCCCCTCTCTGCATCTCCCCCCCCTCCAGATGAGAGAACTATTTCCAAGGGTCCTCAAGTCCAGCCCCACACCTGGTGGGGAGCTCACTTTCAGAGGGTATGGTAGGACCCCCTAAGCCATTTCTCTCTGCCTTCCAGGAAGCCACTTATCCTCAAAGGAGCAGGCCTTCGTGGGCCAAGAGGGGACAGGAAGACACATGGGGCACAACGTTCCTCCACACTGGGGCTTTGGGAAGCTACAATGACAGACCCCATCATGAGCCTTCTCCCAGAAGCTCCTCTGGGAGGAGGGTGGGAAAAAGGACATGGCACAAGGATCACTTCTCAATCCCTCTGGCCACTTCTAGGTTGTGTTAAGTGTTGCTCTTGTTATTACTGTTGGGGATCAGATCAGGAAATGACCTGAGAGGACTTACTACATGCTGGGACCTCTCCCTCTCATTCCTGCAAAAAGCCTGTGAAGTGCTATTTATTACAACCCCATTTTATAGATAAGGAGGGAACAGAGTAACAGAGAAATGAAGTGACTCCTCCAAAGTCACACAGCTTGTGGGGGCCAGGCCACCCAGATGTTTTCCTTCTAACATGCCTTCTCCTTGGGCCTGACTCCAGCTGGACACTGCAAATCAGTTACGTGTCAAGAGCCAAAGGAAGGAAGATCTGGAACAGTGGAATCGCAGACACTGTGACAGAGTTGGGTAGGGTTGTGCTTTGCATTTTCAGGCCCCTTGGGAGGCCTGTTGCCTTCTCCATAGCTCCAAATGGCAGTTTGTGTTGATGGTTCCAGTACTCAGGCTCTGCCTTTCCACTCCCCTATCTCTTGCTCTGTGACCTTGGGCATACCCCTTGCCTCTCTGGGTGTCAGTTTCCAGGTGTTAGTAATGGGGGCGAGGTTGGTGCCTTGTGGTGGTTTGTGCGCCTCAGCACTGCAGGCTGCAGAAGTCAGCGGAGGAGAAGAGCCTCAGCACATTGACCAGCGGGAACATGAGCAGCGCTCCGACCAGCGAGCCTAGCTGCACGGCCGCCCCACACCACAAGAGGGCGCTGCGGCTACGGTCGCGCAGGATCATGCCCAGCATCGCCTTGACGTAGCTCAGACAACCAGAGAACAGCACCCACGAGGCCACCTGCAGAGATGGGCGGGGAGAGAGGCAGAGTGATGGGTGCTTGTGGGGGTGAGCCTCAGGGGTGAAGGGAGCTAACAGGATGACCCAGGAGGGCTAAGGGAACCCCACGGAACTCTAAATACAAAGAGAGCCCCATGGTATGACCCCGTAGGGCAAAGGGGCTCCATGAGTTGACCCCCCAAGGGCAAAAGAGAGCCCAGTGGTTTTTCTGGCCCCCATGATAAAGTCGAGAGCACCTGAGAGAAGACCACTGCTAACATACACAGGTGGGATTCAGAAAGGCTGGGCTGTGACCTTGAACCAGTCACCTCACCTAAGACCCCATCCCAAATGAGAAATGACCCCTCCTCCCTATCTACCCAACCCAGGGCTTCCTGAGAGACGTTGGTCAACAGAAAGGCCTGCACCCAGGGTCTCCTGAGGCCTTGGCTAGGAGGTGCAGGGCAGGGAGGGGAACAGCCTCCAGACCAGATACTTACGATGAGGACTTCACCACCCCAGTGGCCCTGCAGGAGGGGGCAGGGGCTCATCACGGCCATGGCCATGTTGTAGGCCCCAAACCCAGTCCCGAACACCACGAGGACCCCCAGGAATGGCAGAGACCTAAAACAGAGTGGGGAAGGTGAGAAAACGGCTGTAAAAACCACTTGGGAGCAGTGTCTGACCTCCTCTAACTTCACGAGGGGAAAGGTGAATCAAGATCAACAGTCCAAGGCTGATTCCTATGAGTTGGAGGTCAGCCATGCCTCTTCTGCCATCTTTACCAACTCTGACACCAACTGTCCTTCCCACGGCACTCTCTACTTCTCTGCTGGGTTCAATTATTCATTGCAATGGCCACACAGAACTCACAAACCATACACATGACCTCTGCCCCCACTCTTTCCCGGGGTCCATGTGGAATGGCCACCATCTCCAGGGTTAGGGGTTAGATCCATGCGGAAACTTCCAGGCCACCCAGGGGCCAGTGAGGCTTACGAAGGGGAGGGCTGACCTAAGTCACACCAGGCATTAATGGCAGGGTCCAGCATTCTGGCAGGACAAGCAGAAAGGCCTCTGGTGCCAGATGGACCTGGCTCAAATCCCAGTTCCACCATTTAAGCTGTGAACCTCAGCAGGGCTGTGGTGACCTCGAGGAACGAGCGTGCACAGACTGACTCTGGCCCTGGGCCCCATCTTCTATCTACCTTATCTGCTGCTATTTCTTCCTGTAACATGCCTAACCTCAGCCAGGAAACTAGGCTGACTAGAAGATGGCTTGGATCATAGTACTGGCACTGCAAGTGTGCAGTATGACTTCAAGTGACCCCTTCCCTCTCTGGCCTCAGCTACCCCTGACAAGAACAAGAGGTTTGCATGCTCTCCAGGGCCCTGGCAGCTGACTCGGACAGACCGCCATTGACCACAAGGAGCACCACTCTTCAGGGGGCCTCCCACGCAGACCCCATGCCTGGTAGTTGAGGACACTGCTCCTCATTTGAGGTCCTTGTCCACACTCTCCAGAATGCCAAGACTGGTCTGCACCATGGGTGAGAAAGAAGGCGTCTGTCCCTGCCTCCAAGGACACTTTCTGCTCCAAGATTCTTGGATTCTGTGACTCTCAAGTTCCGTAAAATTCTAATATTCTGGGTTTCTCAGACTCTGCAGGTCTGTGGCCTCTGTCCTGCTTCTCCAGAAATTTCAATCCTCCCTCTAGGGTTTTAAAGCCTTGTTGTGGGTTGGACTGTGTCCCCTGGAAAGATATATTGAAGTCCTCACCACCGGTACCTGTGAATGTGACCTTATTTGGAAATAGGTCTTGGTAGATGTAATTAGTTAACACCAGGTCATACTGGAGCAGGGTGGGCCCTAATCCAGTATGACTGGTGACCTTATAAAAAGAGAAGAGACACAAACAGATGTGAGGGGAGATGGCTGTGTGAAGAGGGGGGCAAAGATTGGAGTTATGCTGCCACAGCCCAGGAATGCCTGGGACCACCGGAAGCTAGAAGAGGCAAGGAAGGATCTTCCCCTAGAGCCTTCAGAGACAAGCAAGGCCCTGCTGGCACCTAATTTTGGACATCTAGCCTCCAGAATGGCCCAAGAATAAATTTCAGTTGTTTTAAGCCACCCAATTTGTGGTCCTTTGCTACAGCAGCCACAAGAAACCCAAGGGAGATAACCTGGCTTCCTGGAAAACTGGCATCTTCTGACTGACTCTGCTGTCCTCATTCCCCCTCCTTCCTGCTCTGGGGGAGGTGGGTGTATGCAGGTGGGGGTGGGCAGCTCTGAGAGGCCAGCAAGGGCCAGGCAGGGCAGAGGGGTGGATGGGAGGCTCTTAGAGCTACAATTGCATGACCCCAAGGTTGGCATTTCTCCTACTGGGGTCTGAAGCCCCTGCATCAGAGCAACCCGCGTTGCTTATTAAAAATTCAAATCCCAGGTCCCAATCCAGGCTCAATTTGCATTGTACCAACTTCCCTAGTCATTCTTCTAGACCTGCAGCTCCAAGGGGGCCAGCTGTGGGCTGGAGGCAGGAGGGCAGGGCTGGAAACCTGGGAATTGCACCAGGTCATGCTCTTTCTCAGAGCTTGTTTTCTCCTTTATAAAATAGGAACTGCAGTAGCTGCCTGTTTCTCACCATGGGGCTGATGACGGTCACGGCTGACGCTTTCACAGGACCTGCTGTGGGCCAGGTACTGCTCTGTGAGCTCTACAAAATCAGCTCATTTTATCCTCCCAGCAACCATAGGAGATGGGAGATATTATTATCCTCATTTCCCAGATAAAAGTCTCTGAGGCACAGAGAGGTAAAGTGACTGCCCAATATCACACAGCTAGCAAGTGGCAGAGCTGGGATTTGATTTCAGGCAGTTGACTGCACACACAGCCTAATAGATGGGGCTTGGAACTCTGGGTTCTGGAGTGACATCCGCCCCCCAACCAGGGTTCCCCAGAGTCAGATGGGGCAGACCTGCTAGGTAGGAACATGGCAAAGAAGCAGGCAAGAGGGTTGGCCATGGAGCTGAGGGTGGCAGACAGGTGGTAGGTGACGGGCCCGTAGGACAGGCAGGAGTAGGTCTGCACAGAGGGCAGCACGCCATTGGTAAGTGCGTTCACAAAAGCCACCAGGAGGTAGATGAAGGTCAGCTGAACCGGGTGGAGAGGGGCTGTTTCCTCCTCTAGAGGCCCCTGGTCCTTGCTGCTGCCCTCTGGGCCTGGGAGACCCAGGTCCTGCTTCTCCTGTGGCCGGATGGAGTGGAGGATGATCTGGGAGCTGAAGAGGTCCTCGGTGGAGGCCTCCCAGTGCCTGGGCTGGCGCTGGAGGAGGAAGAAAGCGACTAGGCAGCAGGCCATCATAAAGGAGAGCAGGAGGAAGAAGACCAAGGGTGAAAAGTTGGCGGGGAGGTAGCGGCTTTCCAGGTGGACAGTGGAGGCTGTAGTCCCCGTGAAGGCAGACACGAGAGTGCTGCTGGCTCCCTGGGTAAAGACAAAATAAGGGTTGGTCAGATCCCTGGGGATGGGAGAATGAGGGTCGGCCAAGTCCCTGGATGGTGTCAGGACCAGGGTTAGTCAGATCCCTGGGTGATATCAGGATGAGGGCTGGTCAGGTACCTGGGTGATGTGAGGACAAGGGCTGGTCAGGTCCCTGGGTCATGTGAAGATGAGGGTCGGTCAGGTCCCTGAGTCATGTGAGGATGAGGGTCAGTCAGGTCCCTGGGTCATGTGAGGATGAGGATTGGTCAGGTCCCTGGGTGATGTCAGGACGAGGGCCAGTCAGGTCCATGGGTGATGGGAGAATGAGGATTGGTCAGGTCCCTGGGTGATGTCAGGACAAGGGTCATTCTGATCCCTGCGTGAGGTGGGATGAGGGCTGGTTAGATCTCTGGGTGATGGTGGGAGGAGGTTCAGTCTGGTCCCTGGGTGATGTTGGAATGAGGATCAATCAGATCAGATCCCCGGGTGTGAGGTAGTGAAGCAATGTTTAAAGTCTATAGTTCTCAATCCTGATTGTACCCTAGCAACACCTGAGGAATTCTGACAAAATACAAGGTCACAATCCCTTATCTGCAATTCTGAAATCCAAAATGCTCTGAAAATCAAAATATTTTGCAGACCTAGTTGGCAACAACCCTTGAACTAAACTGATGTGTGGCTATTTACAGCCCTAATTGGCCCTCTGTGTGTGGATGTTGATGGGCTGTGAGCAGTGGTGTCACTGCGCTGGGTCACTGGGTCCCCTGTGTTGCTGGGGACTAGGGTGGCATGTTCTCAAATCTGAAAATCCCAAATTCCAAAATATATCTGGCCCCAAGGATCCAGATCAGCCCCACCCTCAGAGATTCTTATTGAATTGTTTTGGATGTGAGTAGCTTCCCCAGGTGATCTAAGGTGCAGACAGGTAAGAACACTGGTCTATTCAATGTTTAGGAAACACAAGCCCTCTGCATCATCTACTCATGATCAAACCCAGAGCAATGCAAGGGCTCTGGGTCCCACCAGGTACCTGTGTGATGCCAATTGTCCTGTTAGTCACAGGGCTTGGGGTGGTATCTGGTGTGTTAGTGATGTTGACGCAGGTGGTAAGACCCGAGCCCTGAGCAAGAGCCACCAGGGCAGGCAGGAGGCCACTGAGTCCTTCGCCCACAAAGAAGGTATTGAGGTAGCGGGCAGGCAGCCGACTCATGAAGGGCAAGAAGGTGACGGAAGAGGTACAGTCCACCAGGGCCAGGAAGAAGGTGAGAACCATGAAGGCAATGCTGTGGTGGCCATCCAGCACCCAGGAGGTCATGTTCCAGAGGAAGGCGAAGAGGACGCAGGTTATAGTACCCACACACACGATGGTGAAGATGACGGGCACCTCAGGAAGGCAGCTGGGCCGGAAGTGATGGAGCAGGGTGACCAGGAGGGGACCGATGTTGGCCAGCTGGATGATCACCGTGAGGTAAGAGGGCAGGTACCAGCTCTCAGGCAGCTCCGTCACCAGCAGGGGCAGCTCTACCCAGAGCCCATTGATGGCTACCCAGGAGCCTGTTCCAAAGATGCAGACCAGCAGGTGTAGCAGGAAGGCCATGGTACTGTCTGCCTTGGACCAGAGGCACCGCCTCCTCAAGTCAGCCTACAGCCGAGAGGACAGAGAAAGATACCAGGTGAGCAATCTCTAAGTTTACAGCTTAGCAAGAGACTGTGCTTTTGGGCCCAATGTTTTCTCATCATCCCTCTCCCCATGAACAAGCTGGCTTCTTAGTAGCAGAAAACACAGGCAAATTCCTTTATAACTGGGGAAAACCTTCCTAACCATAAGTCATAAATCTAGAGGGAACAAAAGAAAAGTTTGATACATTCAACTGCATAAAAACGAAAACAAACACAAAATAAAAATGTTACCGGGTGGAAACCCCAGGTTCTTACTTGACATGACTCGTATTGGCCAATAAACGAGAGACCGAGGAGGGAGACCAAGAAGGCCACCTTCATTTCATTGTACAAGGAAATGGAATCAGTCGGAGCTGATGTTGCCAAGACTGCTCGCCAAGGGCAGGCAGGCAAGTTACTTTTAAAGGGGTTTACAAGTAGGGAGTTCATACAAGTTATGTCAGCAACATTCTTTTTTTTTTTTAAATGTTTCTGATCTTTCACTGTTTTTTTTTATTATTTTAGTTTAAACGTTTACATTTCAAGTTAGTCTCCCATACAAAATTTTATACATACATTGTTACGTGACCCTAATTGCTCACCCCATTCTGCAACAGCACACTCCTCCTTTCCGCCCCTGATTCCCCATGTCCATTCAACCAGCTCCTAACCCTCTCTGACTTTCCTTCTCACCTCTGGACAGAAGCTGCCCCTTTGGTCTCTTGTATCTACTTGACTAAGAGGCACACTCTTCACGAGTATCACTTTATGTCCCACAGTCCAGTCAAATCAACGTCTGAAGAGTTGGCCTTGGAAATTGTTTTAGTTCTGGGCTGATAGACAATCCAGGGGCCGTGCTTTCTGGGGTACCTCCAGTCTCAGTCAGACCATTAAGTCTAGTCTTCTTACTAGAATTTGAGTTCTGCACCCCGTCTTTCTGCTGCTCCATCAGGGACTCTCTGTTGTGTTCCCTGTCATGGCGGTCATTGGTGGTAGCCGGGCACCATTTAGTTCTTCTGGTCGTCAGCAGCATTCTTAACCATACTACCCAGGCACAATGGGGTTTACATATAACATTCAAGCAAAAGTAGGATTCAAATGCAAAGCGGGTGGGGGGAGGGCGGGGAGACAGCAAAGGAAAGGATTTTTCAATACAACACTGTAGGGGAGGAAGCTAGGTAAAGAATACAGCATTGTGGGGGTTCTGTCTCACTCCTCCCATTTCTTCTTGGACACTGGTCATTCAAGACCAGTGTCCATTTTGAACTATAGCCTGGTGTGGAATTGTCTGGCATATTTTCGTGGAGGGGTAAATACTGGGCCTAGGCCTTTCATTGTGGTGACTGACCTCTTGTTGGTTTATAACTGTTTACTAAATGTTAGAAGAGTGGCTTTTATGCCCTGTTTATGTGAATGTCTTCCTAAAAGAGTCTTTTTTTTCTTTTTTTCAGATTCTCTTAGCTATTATCTTTATACTTCAGGGCCCAGTTGATGTGTCTTTATGAGTCTTCATAAGTCTAACTCCAGCTAGGTCACAGTTTTTATGCTCAAGGACTGGGAATAATGGCTCCAATATTATCTCTTAAATCATTCTTTCTTTTGATTGGAGATTGGAGATATTAATACCTGGACTTAGTTGAGCCCTTAGGTGGTGGCCATGGCAGGCTCTTTAAACTCATGGTGCTGGTTTTCCACCAGATACCATCTGGTTCTTCACCAGGATCTTAACAGCGATGTCAATTGCATTGGTAAAGTGAGCAGACTCAATGTATATCAACATTTTAGCCGGAGGCCTTCTTTTTCCCCTTTTAAGTGTGTAAGACAATCAAAGATAAGTTTTATTATGCCTAATAATACTGAGATGCAGACTAAGACTTGCAGTAGTGACCTAGCCCATGTACTTATCCTGACACTAATCAACCAAACAAATTTGGTGTACGTTAAGGGTGTTACAGTGTGTAACCAAGTAGCTTGCTGTCTAATTCTATGTATATCCTGTTCTACGTCTCCTGTGTTATTTATCCAAACGCAAGAAGACATATTTGCTACAGCACAGACTACACTTTCTTGGGCTAATAAAAAAACTAAAGGCTATTTTGTTATCTCATGTCACCTTGGCTAATTAGGCGAGAGATTACTGTTCTGTTTTTATCTCATTAGCAACTTCATCTGTTATTTGTCCCATAATGATTGATAAATTTCTTAAAGATTTCTTCAATTCAACTATACCGTAACTAGGAATTAAAGCTACCAACCATACCCTGAGGGTTGGACCAATAGGTTTCTTTTTGACTCTCGTTTTACAGTGTGTAACAATTTAACATTACCTTTTCAATATTTACTACTATCATTACTATGAATATCTTAAAGATAATCTTAAAATGCTCAAAGTGCATTGCCCATGCATTCACCAGGAATCTAAACAAGAGATTGCCCACATTAACTCACTGTCAGTTGGAAAGGGATCATTTAAAACCAGTGTAGCTGGATCCACAACACACAAAGATTGTCTGGAGGAAACAGAAGGTATAGAAAACTTCACATGTGACAACTAGATTTTCATTAGAGAATGCATGATTAACAAGATGATATAGGACGGACCTCTCCTATTGGAGGTCTTCAGTTAATCTGTTTAAAACACACTAAGTGTTCTTCTCAAGGGCAAGCTGTCCCTCCTTGGTCTACCTATTAACAGTCATGGGTCACTACGTCAGAAGCAGAGTGTCACAAAACTGTTTTTACGAGAGAATAACTTCTAATTCAAGAGTTACAATATCTAAACCCATTAGTTAAATAATTTAGGAGAAAGGAAAATGGTTTCTTATATCTAGAAAGTAGGACCATAAAAATATCAGCAATATTCCCACATAAAACCCCTAGTTTCCTTTCATTTACTTGGTCTTATGTAGTTAATTTCTATTCCACATGATTCTGGATCAGCCACAGTCAGCTTCTGCATGGGAGTTCTGGAAATTTTATTCAGTCTAGTTACAGTCCTTTTCGCAAGTCCAGTATAGTCTGTTTGTTGAGATATTTTGGCCAAACGTTTTCAGCATATCAGCAAAGTAAAAACTTATCTGCAGATGACAAAACTTAATATGGCCGCGATTAACTTATAAAAATAATATTCTTATAGTGAAAGACCTGATAGAAATTAATTACAAGCATAATGTAAAGGCTAAATGAAATCAGTTAAAAAAAAAACTTTAGATAAAAATGTCACTAAATATAACCATTAACCATATTTTTAAAGAGCTTCAGATGTAATACATGATAATCTTGAGACATAATACCAGGATATACCAAGTCAGGATATTCCAAGAATATACCAAGATTATGAAATCTTTAAATACCTGAATAGTAATAAAAGAAAACTTTGTAGGTAAATGATGTAAATTCCCA